TTTTTATACAGCCTCCCATCTCCCCTCTGCCCACCACCCCACCCTCCCTTGCCCTCACTGCCCGCCTCTAGACACAAGGCTGCTGGGCCTCAAGAGCCAGAGGGTTAGTGCAGGGGGTCCCAGTAAAGGGGCCAACATGGGTCGTGACACAAGGGATGAAGTTACCAGAAAGGTGAGAATCCCACAGAGGGAAGAAGTCACGGGTAAGAGGCAGGAGAAGTCAGCGATATGGTGGGGACAAGTGGAGCTGAGGCTGCAGGTCTTTCCGGAGAGGGAGGGAGTTTGAGCAGGGGGAAGTCTGAGCAGAGGAGGGGCCTGGCCACCAGCGAGGGCAGGGGGAAAGGTGGGGAGCGAAGGGCCCGTCAGGGGTGGGGAGTAGAGACCGGGGATGAAGGCTTCCAGAGGGAGGGCCAGTGGTTTCCAGTGTCCAGCTCTGCCCAGGGAGAGATCTCTATTTGAGCAGCACGATCTCAAAGAGGGTTTCGGGTGGGGCGGTTATAGCGTCACAATAATGGGCGGGGGGCACTGTGAGAAAGCAAAGTCTCCCCCTCTGTCCTGTAGGAGGACTCCAGGAGATTTGTTAGTGAAGGTGCGTTAGTTAGACCCCAGCAGAGGCCAAACAGGAGCCTGGGCAGTGGAGAGGGAGGAGCCCCAGGGCCCGGAAGACCGTGGGAAGTGCACAGCCTGGAAATGTGGAAGCAGTGAGTGTGGGCGTTGCGGGAATGCAGACCCCGGAGTCCCGGGAGCGTGTGAGCGCGGAAGTGTGGAGACGTGTGGACGACACCGGACAGTGCAGAGCCCAGAGGTCCCCATGGAGAGGAGGGCGGGGGCATCTGGGACTCAGAAGGCGTCGGAGTGTGCAGGGCCCGGTCAAGGTCGCTTTTACACTGTTGGGGAATTCTTCCTGGCTTCGGAGCTTCACTTTTTTGTGACACCAGCAAAATTTGTGTCTTGAAGGCTTCCCATCCCCAAATAGACTGGGTGGAGCCCTATATGTTGTCGGACCTCAGTCTTCAAGGAGGCCCTTTCCACTCTGATCTGCACATGTTTCCTCCCCTCACTTAGGACGAGCCCCCCCAAGGCACCAGGTCTGTCCTTGTTCCCCCTGGGGCTTCTGACTGTTTTACAAAGCAGCTGAGGGTGGAAAAGCTTGTTGGAAACAGGCTGTTTGGAGAGAGGCCCCCGGGTCTGTGATTTACACCACTCCCAACCCTCTGTGCATTCAGAGAACCGGGAACTGCAGCCAGACCAGGGCCAGGTGTGCACAGCCAGACCCTGGCCTCATCACCAGCCTCCCCCTCACCCAGGGCCCCTCCTCTCGACTCATTCTCAGAGTCCCCACATCAGTCTACCCCTCTCTCTTCCACCCAGCATTCTAGAGCTGTGAGGCCCATTACAGTAGACACTCACCGGTGTGGACTTTGAGCATTTGAAATGTGGCTGGTCTGAATTCAGAGGTGCTACAGGTGTAAAATACACATAAAATTTCAAAGGCCTAATATGAAAATAAGAATGTAAAATAACTGGCTTTTTTCCTTGCTCACATGATGAATGGCTTATGAATATACTGTTTTCCATAAAATAGATCATTTAAATTATTTTCATTTTTCTCTGTTTACATTTTCAATATAGCGGTTAGAAATTTTGAAGATTACACCAGTCTCGGTTGTAATTCTATCGGGTGCTCGCCTGCGCTGATGGCGTGCTTCCACCAGGTGGCGACAAAACATGCCTCTGGAGCTCCACGGCGGGTGGAGAGCCCGGACAGAGGAGGCTGGGACCCGTGTGTGAGGCCCTTTGAGGCAGGACGGCCTTAGAGAGGATGTTGAGACATGCTGTCCCCGCACTGGGCCCTCCTATGGGGGGAGAAACTGCAAGTTCTGGCGAGCAGGAGAGAGACGGTGTGGTAGGCTGAGCAGAGACCCCCAAATACACCAAATACAGTAATGTAATCCCAGGTACCTATGCCATGACTCTTCCCATCCAGGACAAAAGAGAATTTGCAGATGTGACGAAATTAAGGGTATTGAGAGGGGGATGTTATCCTGGATTGTCTGGGTGGGCCCTCAATGGACTCCCAAGTGTGCCTAGAAGAGAGAGACAGGAGAGACAGTCCCCAGGGGTGGCCTAGAAGCAGCCTGCACACGCTGCTCAAACAGAGAGGATGCCATGTGGCAAGTACATCTTC